ATGGATGGGGCTGATGGAATTGTAATCCAACAACTGAAATGTCGCAGGTTCATCACTGCACATTTAGAGGACACGTTGCCTGTGATCCTATCAAACATATCTTATTTTCCTGTTCCACCATCTCCTCATCTTCATCTTTTTTAAAAACAAAAATAGTTAGAAAATAAATTGTCACCAAATGCAAATTGCATTCTTCGTTTAGGGAATGTGTGATTACTTTAATATCAGTGTCAATTAACAGACTTGGCTTTTAACAAGCATAGATCTATCAGAAGTATGTTACTTTCTTTGATTGCGAATTTGTTTTCCTCCTAGATCTTTGTAATATTATTGACAATATGAATTTTCATATGCCCAGAATACTTTGTTACTTGGCAGTGCTCCCAACTTTCTTGGCATCTTTTTTTCATGTTTACCTTGAAGTGTGAAGGTTATTTTTTTAGAGGACAGAGAATAAGTGTGAAAAGATTCCCTCGTTAATACATTTGTGGGAAACACATTTGACTCTGCCTGTAAGCTATAACAAGATGTGTTTTGCCAGCATGAGTCATGTTTCCTCATGTACAGAGAGGTACATCACTTGTAAATATTGAAATTTATATACATGAATGAAATTGACAAAAGGTAGAAAGATGTTAGAAATTGGAGGCCTGCTAAGATATATCCAAATGGTCATAGTTTATTGTTAAACAATTATTTTATGAACTTTATGAGATACGGATTTGTGAACTAAGGAAAACAAATGCTGTTCTTTTGGTCACTGCCAATACGCAACCATTAGAACAATTTTTATTTGATCCTTCAATGTTTTTAATATTTGTACATGGTGACATTTTACTACTGAATGGAAAAAGCCAAAAACTCTATTCGTTTTAAAACAAAGACCTGGAGCACAATGAAGACATGAAAGAAAGGGACTCCTGTACCTACAAATACCAACATTTACATTGAAGGTAAATTTTTACATCTCTATTCTGCTACTTTATGATATTGTTCTTATATTTCATAATGGGATGGTAGGCATTTCATTGTATTTTGGATAGGATGTTTCATTACAAGACATTTCATCCTATTTGGAACTATGTATTTGCCCGTTTGCATTTAGGAGGTGGATTTTTATGTGTATGCTGCATTCATAATAGATTATTTCAGTTCATATATGAATGTTTTAAATGATCCATTCATATGCACATTTACTCTACTATTGTAAAGCTGGCCTTTAGAACTGGCTATTTTGGGAATGGCATTGACATTTTTCATAAATTTGGATGCCCTCGTTTCTGTTAGGAATTAGCAAATCAACGAAATGTATACACTCTGCCTTCATCTTTATTTAGGCCTATCAAAGTTTAACGGAATAATAGATCTGGCATGCATGCATACAAAAGTCAAAATGATGTCTCTCACATGTCAATCAGTTTAAGATGTTTTGGAATATTGGGTACCATGTGCTGGTTTTCATGGGAGAATTTTCAATGACCAGAGGCACAAAGCCAAATCAAAATGGTAATTTTTCATATTATGCTTCTAATTCTGTCTCCAGTGTATTGTTTTATATCATTCTTAGTTAAGGATAGACAAGTTATGAATCAGGAGAGACATGCATTGTTGCTCCATCACATGGACTTAGCCCTTCCCCTGAAACTCTGACCTGTGATTTTCCATTAGTTTTATTATTCTTTCTTTGTCATTTCCAGCAGGAAATAATAATTTTCTCAGGATTGCCAAAGCTGGTAGTGAGAAGGCTATTTGCTTACCTTGTTAATCTCTCTCTCAATATGTTTCTGGTGTACATTAGTAGTTTGATTGAATATATACATGGAAAAAGGTAAGAGATAGAATGAAACTCACTACATAGCAGATATTATTTTAAAAATGTCCTACACTTAAAAAACTTTGCAAATCCCAAACTAGAATAGGAAGATAGTTCAGGGCACATCTACACTGATGAGTTATCTCAAAGGAAGGGTGAATCAGATCCATGATGACTGAACAACACATGGAGCTGATCCAGGTATTGTAATATGAAAGAAACTGCTTAAGTGGTCTTTAACTGCATTAACAAAGTTGTGGGATGCTCTGAATTTTCCCAGAAAATTTGGAGAAAACCATGACATTGGGCCATGTATGCAATTGGGACTGTTCCAAGATGAAACCATTCACAACAGTTACATGCCCACACTATGTTCCTTGGGTTCAGGCAGCCCAGGGACATGGGATGACACCATTCCCAGCAGCTAGTGACCATCAGTCAGAACAACGAGGCATCAGTGGGGAAGTGATGAAAGACAAAACAGTTCCTTCTCTCCCTTCTTTCTCTTCTGACACTCCACCCAATGTCACTTGAGATGATGCGTGACCAACAGTAGTCATGTCACACCTGCTAACCACCTCAGTGATTGGGGACAATAAGGGTGGACATCTAGCAATATCAAACTGAGATCGGTACCACTGGACCATCATGAGTCTCTCTTGCCTTCACAGTAGCTGGAAGATTTAAACTATTCCAGAGCTGATTCAACATTCACCATTCTGGATTAGCCTGGTGATAAGTGGTTGGTGTAGAACTACCCTCACTTAAAATTGTATTCTCTGTATGAATTTTACTTTTACAGGAGGTTTCTTAGTAAAAATGTGATCGCTCCAAAACCATATTATGTCATGATACCAGTATCACATTTTTCTGCATTTGCAAGCCAATGTTTCTAGGATGCATATCATGTTTACTGAATTTTGTTAGTGTAGTGAAACCTTAGCTAAACATAAAACTTGCTTGATAAAGCAGATTCCAATTTGCTTGGAGGGAAGGATATGAGAGGGGATATGCAACTCTTCTTAAGTTATGGATTCTTGAGTGTTAGAGGAGCTGAGAAGAGACATTTAGGAAAAGGTAAGAAGAGATCTAAACAAAATATAAACCCACTCTCATATCCTTCCCTTCAGGCAAATTGGAATCTGCTTTCTCAAATAAGTGTTATATTGTTTGAGAAACATACATCAGAAAATACTCTCCAAGTGAATGCTTAGTGAAAAATGGCAAGGTTGGGATTTTGATTAGAAAAGGGATGATGCATTTCCCATTTCTGACATTTGTGCTCCCCCGAAAGATGTTCTCCTCACAAATATGGATTTTCAATCTCACAGAGGTAATGCTCCTGTTCTTCATTTATCCATCACTCTGTGTATTTTTGAGGGAAGTGGAAAATTAGTCAGAGGAAACTCTGTTGGATATTTAAAATTCAAAACTTGCCATCTTTGAAAACAGCTACCAAATGTCTACACAAAACAGCTTGTCCCTTGTGATGACCAAAAGATAGGACAGAAGTGGAAAATCTATATAGAAAAAAATAGGCAGAAAAGACTCAAGAAAAAGCACAAAAGGGGTTAACAAGGCATGGAGCTGAAAAAGAGAACAATTATATAATGAGAGAATAGATAAATATAGAATTTGGAAGCATTATTTTTTTTAAGCACAAGTCTTATACTAGCTGGCAGCTTTTCTGAAAATGCTGTCTAATATAATGACGCCTGCTGTGGATTATTGAACTAAACCCTTAAGTTCCTCTTTAAATATACTAATATGCACTGGAACACATTTTAAAAAGTGGATGAATGTGCTTGTCTCATTTTTTGGCACTTTCCCTTATAAAGTAGGACTAAAAGATGTGTGGCCCTTCATGTACAGACTGAAAGTCTTATCAATTATCAATCAACCAATCAATGATTTATTATGGTCTTTGACCAGCACACTATAGAATGGGGCACAAGTACCCAAGGAAGGGAATCGCAGTTCCCAAGTAGGACAGATAAAAAAGCAGATTAAAAACATGTTATAAAAGAGACAGATTAAAAAACAGTCTAAACTTACAGTTTAAGGTGCATGTATGAGTCTAAAATAGGGGGCGGCTAATAGGAAATATCAATTATCATCATTGGCAATGCTGGTCCAGCAACAATTGGGATGGCTGCATAATTCCCTAGCCTTAATAAATAGAAATGTTTGGGTTTAAAACAGAAGTGTGCTAGAATAAAAACCATGGTGCCACATCTTTATTCTAATGCTGGGAGATGTTAGCTGGCTCTGATTGATTCTTGTCTGGAATTCCCCTGCTCTTTATTTACTGTCCTGGTTTTAATTTTTTTTAATACTAGTAGCCAGATCTTGTTCATTTTCATGGCTTTCTCATTTCTGTTGAAATTGCCCACATGCCTATGGATTTCAGTGGCTTCTCTGTGTAGTTTGACATGGTAGCTGCTAGAGTGGTCCAGCATTTCTGTGTTCTCAGATAGTATACTTGAATAAAATCAGGACAGTACATAGAGAACAACAATCATAAAGCATGGGAATTCCAGACAAGAATCAATGAGGGTCAGCTCCCAACAAAGGATTCTCTCAGGCAGCAACTGGCCAAGCCTTGAAATTGCAAGGCCATTAAATGCTAATCAAGGTGGCATATTGGAACATTCACATGTGCCTCAGGCAGACAGGAGTTCTTTCTCCCAGTCTGGACATTCCACAGATATATAAACTTCACTTACTTAGTTTCTAACAGAGCCCTCAACTTCTGATGATGCCTGCCATAAATGTGGGTGAAATGTCAGGAGAGAATGCTTCTGGAACATGGCCATACAACTTGGAAAACTCACAGCAACCCAGTAATTCTGGCCATGAACGCTTTCGACAACACATGGACCAGAACTGTTTAGGGGCAGTGGTTCTCAACCTGTGGGTCCCCAGATGTTTTGGCCTTCAACTCCCAGATATACTAACAGCTGGTAAACTGGCTGGGATTTCTGGGAGTCGTAGACTAAAACACCGGGGGACCCAAAGGTTGAGAACCACTGTTCTAAAGTACTGCCACATGGGAAGCTACACTATATGTCACAGATTACTAATCAGTGTTACACTTAACTATCAATAGGAGTGGACAGAGGAAACCCCAGTTCACTCATCTTCTTCTGATTATATTTCAGAATGACCTCAACATTCATCAACTGAAATGGATCGAAATCAGTCAAGCATTACAACATTCATCCTCTTGGGATTTGGTAATCGCTTTGAAGTACGGGTTTCCTTTTTTATACTATTTCTAGTCATCTACACTTTGTCCATAGGTGGAAACCTCTTCATTGTTTTCCTGGTAATGCTTGACCGGCATCTTCATACCCCTATGTATTTTTTCCTTGCGAACCTGTCCTGTTTGGAGACCTGCTACATTTCAACCATTTTACCTAAAATGTTGGCTAGTTTCTTGACTGGGGACAGAGGCATATCCATTGAAGGATGCATTACACAGTACTATTTCTTTGGCTTCTTTGCAGCTACTGAATGCTACCTTTTGGCAGTAATGTCTTATGATCGCTACCTGGCCATATGCAAACCACTGCATTATGCATCTCTTATGAATGGTAGACACTGCCTTCAGTTGGCATTCACATCTTGGATGAGCGGCTTCTTGACCAACACTATAATTACAGCTTGTATGCTAGAACTTGCATTCTGTGGGCCCAAAGAAATTGACCATTTCTTTTGTGATATATACCCAGTGGTGAACTTGTCCTGCAGCAATAACTACTTAGTAAAACTTGTAACTTTAATTCTGGGCCTCATGGGAACAGGACCACCTTTTCTCCTAACTTTGTCCTCCTATGTCTGCATTCTCTGTGTCATCTTGAGATTTGAATCTAAATCTGCTCAACGGAAGACCTTCTCTATTTGTTCATCCCATCTTATTGTTGTGACACTCTACTACGGATTAATATTTCTTATTTACATAGTCCCTGAGACAGAAACACTGAAAGAACTTCGCAAGATATTCTCTCTTTTCTACACTGTCCTGACTCCTGTTCTCAATCCTCTCATATACAGTTTGAGAAACAGAGCAGTGAAGAATGCTTTCTTCAGGTGTGTCAGGAAATACAGCAATAGAGTTTCATAGCTTTGTGATGTCCTCATTGATCTGTTGATATGTGGAGAAAGGATTCACAGGTGCCTCTGGTGGGGATGAGAGACACCGCCTTCTCAGTGGTGGCCCCTCGGCAGTCGAATTCCCTCCCTAGGGATATTAGATTGGCCTTCTCCCTCCTGACTTTCTGAAAAAAAGGGAAAACCTGGCTCTTTGAACAAGCCTTTGGAAATGCAATGTAATAGATAAAAATAGAACTACGAAAGAGTGAAACATGGAACGGTTTAGATGATTCTACTGGAAAATTAGATTAACAGGAAGACATTGGCGATTATATATTTCTAATGGTTTTTGTATGGATTTTTATAATGTTGTTCTAAATATTTTTAATTGTATTTTATGACTATTATGTCACCAAATTGCTGCGAATTTATAAGCTGCCTTGAGTTGCCTTTGCGCTGAGAAAGGCAGGATAGAAATATTAATACTATTACTACTACTACTACTAATTGTCAGGATCATTTCTATACATCAGGAAAGGACAAGGAATGCTTGCGAAACTTTTCCAGTTTTCTACATTGAATGATTGGATCAATTTCCCTTCTAGTAATGCGTACTGACTTTTAACTATCTATTACATTTCATACTTTTAATATTGCCAATGGGTTTTCAATAGGTTAAGGACAACAAATCAGATATTAAAATATTTTAGAGATAAAATGCCAATTTAAAAATACATTGAATGTGCATGAGCTTTATTCGCATTCTACCTTTCTCCCCATAGGGACTCAAGATGGCTAATGATTACATAAATAACACAACCTAATAAAATTTAAAATAGTAGAAATACAAATACAAAATCAAATTATCATGGGTAGGTATAAAGTTAAAATACAGGGAATACAGGCATTTCACTCATAGTTAAGAATGGTGGTGAGACAATAGGAAGTGAGAGAAATCTACCCTTAGTAAGGGAAATGCACTCCTGAAAGAATTATCGTGAGGAACAAGCTTTACCCTCAATCCTCATTTCCACAACAAGCCGCATTTTTCAAAATCCAATTATCACAGGGCCAGAAAGTGGGGTGAAATCCAGCAGACTCCAACAGACCTCACTACCTCTGAGGATGCTTGCCATAAATGCAGGTGAAACGTCAGGAGAAAATGCCTCCAGAACATGGCCATATAGCCCAGAAAAACCTACAACAACCCAGTGGGGTGAAATCTTCTGAACAGGGGCACAGACAGAATAACAAACACCATAGGGATGTTAATCTTTATAGGGCTTTATAGGTCAAAACCAACACTTACAGTACAGTACACATAATACAGCATTACAAATTACTTGGTGGAGTTGTGTTGTCGAAGGCTTACTTTATGGGCACTTTTAGATGCTAAGGGTAGGAGAAGCAATTGGAAAGACACTACATGAAGGCACACAATAGCAGCAACAATGTATTTGGATAGGTGAGAAAATGTGCTTGCAACTATTTCTAAAATCATTGTAATTTCAGCAGTACTTAAAAAAAAGAATAAGAATGTACAGATTTTTGTGTGCATTCTGGTGTATATATGTCTCATACAATAAATATATACAATGATGTTTCTGTGTAAAGTGTCACTTGTGTTGCCTTCCTCACTAAATTGCAGAGAATAAATACTTAACTTCTAATTGGTTTTCTGAGAGATCTCAAAAAGGATTTGTCAAATTTTCTCTCCCAGGAGGAAAAAAAGCAAAGAAGAAAAAAGAGAAGCAACCATTTTCACAGGTGTCAAGTTGCTCACTGAAAACCTATAAAAGGAATCTGCAGTATTACATCATTGCCCCCTTCTTTGGATAAGAATGATTGTTTTATGTTTATGTTATGATGGTTCTTGACTGTCTTTATGTCTACATTTATGCCAAACATCACAAATGTATGCAAAAAACCCCCAAAAACAAACACATGTGTTACCCATTTAATGTCCCTATAGCAACAAGGTCATTTCCAATCTGGTCGTTGTTTTTGTTTATTCATTTAGTGGTTTTCCACTCTTCATGACCTTGTGGACCAGCCCATGCCAGAGTTCCCTGTCAGGTGTTGCCACCCCAGTTCCTTCAAGGTCAAGCCATCCATCCATCTTACCCTTGATCAGCCCCTCTTCCTTTTTTCCTTCCATTTTCCCCAGCATCATTATATTCTCCAAGCTTTCCTGTCTTCTCATTATGTGCAAAAGTACTTCATCTTTGCCTCTACTATCCTTCTCTCCAGTGAGCAGTTGGACTTTATTTCCTGGAGTATGGACTGGTTTGATCTTCTTGCAGTCCAAGGCACTCTCAGAATTTTCCTCTAACACCACAGTTCAAAACTTTCTATCTTCCTTCACTTAGGCTTTTGCACATTTCAAAATTTAAAAGTATATATTTCAAATAAACAAAGACATGGAAATTTGATTTTATGTTAAATTTTAATCTCTATTTCAGCTAAATATCTGGTATGCCACAATGCACTGATGCATCCCTTTATTGAGGGATGGCGAGATGAAAATTGATTTTCCCCCCTAGTTGTACATCTGTGGTACAGCAGAAGGCATGAAGAATTCTAGTAGCTACTTGCGTAGCTACTAGAATATGTTATTGATAGTGGTAGAGAATGAGACGTTGACACCAGACAAGCCAGCAGAAGATGGAGAAGATGTTTTTGGCAACTAGGTAACAACGAACTCATCAAACAGGTACAATCTTCTTACGGTGAGCAAACACTATGTATTAAATGGTAGAGTGTGTGCTAGGTCCCTTCCCAGGAGAGCAAGTATGAAGACAAATCTTTATTTTAACCAAATTTAAATAACCATGAATGGATAGTGCCAGAACAACATCAAAACATTAGAGATGGTGGCCAAAACAGGAATGCCCATGAAAAAGAAGTTGACTTTCAGGAAGTGATCCACCTATTGAACTTTCAAATATCTATGGTAGGGTATCCCTCTTAAACCAGAGTATAAACAATGTGGAATGTGTGAAAAAAGCAGCTTATACTTGTGAACCTAAGGACCTTATCATATTAGAAAGAGGACTCGCCATACAATGTGGCAAATCGATGGGGTCCTGGTGGGGGGTGGGTGGGTATGGAGAACTAGCTGCACCATGCCCTGCATCACCTGACTTACCTTGACTCCATCACATGGGGGGAAGCATCACTACCCGACTTCCCCCAATTGTTCCATAGGCAACACTGGAAGCTTCCTATCCTCTTTCACTATGGAACATGGTTGGAAGTTCCTGTGTGCTGTGTAATAAGATCCAAGGTGAAAGGGGAGTATAAGTGGCATACAATGGGAAAATCAGCTCATCCGATGAGGTCGTAAAGTCCAAATCACAATCAAAGCCTCAGATAGCAATTTGGTTCTGGTTGCCTGTCTGAGCATGGCACATATCTCTAAAAGAGATCAGTCATTAAAGATGAAAACATGTCCTACTTTGTATAAGCTGGGATGACAAGATGCAGAGCATCTCTCAAGTATGATTCCTTCCTTCCATACAATGCTCTCTCTTCTTAGATTCAAGGGAGAGACTTTAGAATATCTTCTCCTCATAATTGTGGCTCCTGGAGAGATATTTTAAAAAAATCTAAAGTACAAATAGCCCTTTCATTTAATATTATTGACGTTATAGAAAGCCCCACATAGATTACACTATCACATAAATGTCATTTTTAATTGCTTTTATCATAATAATATGGAAGAGTTTATTAAATTGCAAAAAACTTTGTTTTTGCAAGACATCCTGCAGCACATTTTGCTCTAGTTTTTGAATGAATGTCTCATAGAGTCTCAACCAATTCAATTTAGTTTGTGGCAGCTGCAAAAAATGAAGTTTCTGGAGTATAACAATGACTTTCAAAACGTAAACTTTCAAACCAGGAACAGAATTTTTTTCAAATTTCGTTACATAGTGTTATAGATTTAGATAGCTCAAATTGGTGATTAGCTCTTTGCACTAATTAACACACAAAATTATTACATTGGTTGCAGACATAATTTTCCTCAGAGATAGCAATTGTCTTGATTTCTTTTCTCCCTTGGCTTCTTTTCCCTCCTCTCCCTGCCCTTTCCCTTAACATGGTAACTGTCTACACATCACTTTCTCCATCCTACTGACAGAACTTTCAATAGTTATTAAACTAAGAACAAGATTAAAAGATGTCCAAGTAATGGTGATGATTCAGTACTCATCAACTAAGATTCCCAGATCTTGGCACACTATACAGATAACTGTTTGGGATGTGAGACAGTAGACAAAGAACACCTGAGGACAAGTTTGCGGTGATTCCCAAATCCAGAAATGGGGAATGAAAGAAGTGCACCTGATACTCATCCTCCATATGAAAATGACTTTAAGGTAATGTAAAAGATTTTCATCTCTACACATTTGAAGAATGATAATATGGGTCTTTCTAAGAATCCATATTCTCTTTATGTTGGGTGCTATATTACATCCTGGGAAAGATAAAAATTATAATATATTGCTAGAATACCCTTTGTTTTGGAAGTAGTACATTCAAATACAGATTGAGTATCCCTTGTCCAAAATGCTTGGGAGCAGAAGTGTTTTGGGATTTCAGCTTTTCACAGATTTTGGATATTTTGTGCACATAAAGAGATATTTTGGTGATGGGACCCAACACTAAACAAGAAATTCTTTTACGTTTTTATGTTCATCTTCTACACACAGCCTTAACGTGTTTTTATACAATATTTTAAATAATTTTATGCATAAAACAGTTTGTGTACATTAAACCACCAGAAATCAAAAGTGTCAGTATCTCAGCTACCTTTGTGGGTGAATTTGTAATACTCCAGATTCCAGAATTCAGAATAAGTGGTGCTCACTCTTTTCTGAACAGTTAGAATGTAATGGCTGCTGCTGTTAATTTTTCCAAAACAGTGACAGGTTTTTTGTTAGATACCTGACTCATAATAAAATTAAAACATGTAAAAAAATCTAGAATCTTTATCTTTATTTCTTGTCACAGAAAGATGAACAATAAAAAGGAAATGACCATTGTCTCCTTTCATGCTAAGAAAGAGAGTTGGCACTTATTTATACTATATCTTTTTCTTGGCCATTCTAGCCATTTCTGTAGTTGAATGATATTAATGCACTTACAATTTGCTACTAATTAATAAAGTATTTAACTTAATAATTCTGTTAGTAGTATAACTTTCCTCCACCTAACTCTGGGACCCCATCTACACTGCCATATAAAATCCAGATTATCTGCTTTGAACTGGATTATCTTGCAGTGTAAACTCATATAATCCAGTCCAAAGCAGATCATATGGATTATTTGCTTTGATCACCTGGATTACATGGCAGTATAGAAGTGGCCCAGAAGGAGCCTACTCTTCTTCTCCACCTTAGTTTCATAGCAAACCCACGAGAAAAGTCAAACCATGACAGAATGACTGGCCCACTATGGCCTTTCTACATTCCCCAAAAAATTCAGATTATCTGCTTTCACCTTGTTATATGGCAGCGTAGACTCATATAATCCAGTTCAAAGGAGATAATGTGGATTATTCACTTTGATAATCTGGATAATATGGCAGTATAGAAGGGGCCTCTATTTTAGGACTGAGGCCCCTTCTACACTGCCATATACAATCCAGATTATCAGCTTTGAACTTGATTATATGGCAGTGTAGACTCATATAATCCAGTTCAAAGAAGATAATGTGGATTATCTACTTTGATAATCTGGATTATGTGGATTTGAACCTGGGTTTCCTAAGGAATTCAAACCACTAACTATTAACATACATTGATTTTATTATGGAGTTTGACCATCTACAAAACAGATCAAATTACAGTGCAAAACGCACTTTTGAACCCCTTTACTAGAATAGTGATTCTCAAATTCTAGTCTTCCAGGTGTTATGGACATGTTCCTAGGCATTTCAGCTATTTTGGTTAAATGTCAGGGATTCTGGAAGCTTAAAGTCCAAAACACCTGGAAGATCAGAGGTCGAAAAACACTGATCTGGAATATATAAAGCAAATGGAAGAAATGAGAATATCACACCTATTAGCAATGTGGTTTCTTTCTCTTTTATGGGATGTCTTGCATAGAGATTGTTTGCATTCTATACTGATTGCAAGATTTAAAAAGCAGAACTATCTCCAGGAAGGTAACTCTAATTTTAAGAAAGTGAAATGATGATAACATTTGTAGGCTTCAGCAGATTATTATTTTGCAACCATATGATAAGAATTTATTGAAATTTAGCTGAAACTATTGAAATAAGGTAGGAGTTAAACTGACAGGTCTGTTTCTATCTTTGTCCAATCATGGGCCAATCAGTTAGGTTTCTCTCATATTTGAAAGCTGTGGATTTTGATAAAGCATTTAAACAAATGTATTTTAAAATGAATAGAAACTATTTTCACCCTGTTCCATATTGCAAAAGCCATAATTCCTGGAACAGCAAAATTTGCTGATCTCATTCACCTGTTGGCCCCAAACCAGCTGTAAATGATGTAATGGTGTATAGTCATGGCATCTTGCCCAAGCATCAGGCTACATCTTGCCTACCAGCAACAATCGGTGTTTATTGTGGTCCCATCTGGAAGATGCATTTTCCTCCCTCCAATTTAGTTTGAAGATATACCAGTTTATATGGCACAATTAGTAATAAGACCTTCCTTGAATGGCATCTTCTCTAGTAGAAATTTCTTGGTACGTAAGGAATTAGCATGTCAGAAAAGATGTCCAGTCACTGTGTTTGTCTGATAGCCTGCTTTTTTATGGACACACAGAAGCATTCCAATGGATAAGCTGCTATGGCAATCTGAAAGTATTTCTTCACATGATGTATAATTATTAAATGATGGATCCAAGTGATGGTCATGCATTCAGACAGCTTTAGCAAGTTAGCCAACACTAATGAGAGGAGGATATGTCTGTTATTGTTGCCAAGTGACTTACAACAAAGAGGAAACAAAAACCTTTCTGTTAGGAAAATATGAATGCAAGCTCATTTAAAAATGTATTCAGTTTGAAAAATGGTCATAATTAGAATTTTGCAAACAACAAATCCCCTGTAGGAACACACACAGACAGTGGACCAATTTTACAATTTGACAATACTGTTTACTGCATCTGAGAACAAAAGAAACCAAAAAGATGTGAATTGAAAGATTAACAAGTCAATGCATTTGTTATGAGTTTTCTGCCATTCATGTGTACTTTAAGGACCTCATCACATCAACGTCCAAAAGCCTGGGGACAGTGGGGGACAGAGGTTTGTCCTCTTACTGTGGTTGGTCATGGGCTGCTATCCCATGATGTTTCATCGCTGTCCCCAGCTTCTTCAGAGAGGAGGCAGGTATTCATTTATCTCCTCAGGGCTCCCCCTTAGTGAGCTGTTGGCATTATTCTGGGACACAGCCCAGCCAGAAGTAGCCCTGTGTCATATGATGGACTCTGGCAGACCTTGTTCCAGCAGCATGCCAGCAGCATGCTAGGATAGGGAAAATGGCCTGTCTGATGAGGTATTAGGACAGGCCTTTGTAATTTTAGTAAGGAAATGAATTACATGTGGTGTGGGCAAGATCCACAGTTAGAGATTAGGAATATTCCACACTAAGGACTCATCCAGACATGCCCAAAATGTGGGACCTGTCTAATTTTTACTGGATGCATCCAAACGACACCTACAGTAAAAGCGAATTAGTGTGGAGAAAACCAAGGTTTCCCTGTTTTTTCCATATTCAATAACTCATTAGATCCGGGCCTTTCCATATTAGGCCTGTGGGAACTGACATCCAGGGTCAGGTTCCGTGACACCGGGGGTGAGTCCACACAGTCATCTCACTTCTTCGATTTTGAAAAACCCGAAGGAGCAGTATAGCACCCCCATTCTCCCCCCAACTCCAAATTTACCTCCTAAAACTTAATGAAAAAACTCCCTGGCAGCCACGAAACCTCTCCTTATGTTGTCCTGAGTGGAGGGAATGACATGTGAGGAGATGGGGCGGGGGACTAGAAAGAAAAAAGGATGGAGGAGAAGAGAAGACAAACAACATGGAGAGAGGGAAGATGGAGTATACAATGCAAGTGAAGCTGGTACAGATGCTATGATTACCAGGACCAAGAGGAAAGGAGGGACAGCAAAAGACAATTTGAAATGACCACCTGGGATGTTGGCAAGAAATGAGAAAAAGAGAGCTGAGAGTTGGCGTAATGGTTTTTAAATTCAGGTGGAACCAGAAACTATCAGTAGTATGTGTGTATATAAGTGATTTTAATGTTTGTATATGTTTACAGTTTTATGTCCTGACATTGAATGTTTGCCGTATATATGTTATGCTCCACCCTGAGTCCCCTGCAGGGTGAGAAGGGTGGAATATAAATGTTTTAAATAAATAAATAAATAAATAAATAAATAAATAAATAAATAAATATGCCCGCATATATCCATATAACATAAGATTTCATAAATTCTGTTATTTCCTACAGCAAATTCAAATACAGGCAAATCAAACAACTATTGGATGCTTTATTCTTCTTGGATTTGGTGATGTCCCAGAACTGCAAACTCTTCTCTTCCTGACATTGCTAATTATCTACATTATCACCATGGCTGGGAATTTCCTTCTAATTGTGCTTGTTGTAGTTGATTTGCACCTCCAGACTTCTATGTACTTCTTCCTAGTGAACCTGTCCTGCTTGGAGATCTGCTATACCTCAACTATCTTGCCCAGATTGTTCTTCAGTCTTTGGACTGGAAATAGGTCTATTTCTATTAATGGCTGCCTTGTGCAATACTATTTCTTTGGTGTCTTAGCATCTACAGAATGTTATCTCCTGGCTGTGATGTCATATGATCGCTATTTGGCAATATGTAAACCATTGCGCTACACCACTCTGATGAATAGCAGACTTTGTTTCTGGCTTATTATTGGTTCTTGGATCAGTGGTTTTCTAAGTAACACAATTATAGCATCTTTAGAGATGCAGCTATCGTTTTGTGGCCCCTATGAAATTGAGCATTTCTTTTGTGATCTTGCCCCAGTTTTAAAGCTTTCCTGTAGCAAAGTACACATGGTGGAACTTATAACTTTAATCTTGGCCTCTATGGATACCCTGGGTCCTTTCTTGCTTACCTTGATCTCGTACGTATTTATCATCATCAACATTTTCAAGATACAGTCCAAAGTTATGAGGCAGAAAGCCTTCTCCACTTGCTCATCCCATCTCATTGTAGTAACACTCTTTTTTGGCTCCTTGATTGGTGTCTATATTGTTCCAAAAACAAATACACTGAAGAGGCTTCATCAGATTTTCTCTCTCTCTTATACTGTTTTAACCCCTATGGCCAATCCTCTTATATATAGTTTGAGAAACAAAGAGGTAAAACAGGCTGTTTATAGAATTATCAGTAAAGTTTGCAATGTGGCTCAATTTCCTTAGGTTTGGGATGGTCTTATTTTCCTCTGCATAATTCTATACTATGTTTCTGCTGGAAGTCATTAATTTCAATAGGGTTTGCTAAGATCTAGTGTTTCATGCTTCTACAGTAAGTCCAGGAACATATCCCCCATGGCTATGGAAGTTGTATGTTAATTAAAAATGTTTGACAGAAGATAAATGAAACCACTCCAACAACAGAAGTTGTATTTTTTGCAAGCAGTTTCAGGGCCCTTCCACACAGCCATATAACCCAGAATATCATGGCAGAAAATCCCACAATATCTGCTTTGAACTGGGTTATCTGAGTCCACACTGCCATATATTCCAGTTCAAAGCAGATAATGTGGGATTTTATTCAGCTGTGTGGAAGGGGCCAAAGATTGGATTTATTTACCCAATCGTGATACATTCAATATACGTTTATATTCTGTATTTAGAATTGCAGGAATTCAATTGAGGCATGTATCCTTGGGCTGTTGATATTAACTATTTAATATACCATTAATCAGCATTTATGTTATTTGTTTGATACATATCTGTTTATTGTCTGCCAACCCCCGAAGTAAAACACGAGAATTAAAGACACAACACCAATGTTTGGATTCAAATTGGGCAACTTTTATTTAGCGTTACCTATTTAAGTTCTTAACCTAACTCAAGGGTGCAAGGAACTGGTGTAACCTAACCCAGGTAGTATCACTACCCGATAACAACAATTTCCGGGCGAAGCACCTGGGTTTCGGTAATCAAACCGTATCACCATCAAGGGAAAGGAATAAGGAGTCTCTTCCAGAGCTCTTGTATCGAGACTCCTTCCAATTAAAGGCCATTTAACTACACCTCACCTTTTAAACTGGAGGTGAGTGTTTAACTTAACGGCCTTTCACCCCTTAAAGGGGTGCCCTAGGTGCACACCGACTAAAGGAATTTCCCTATCTATTTACGCCACGGATTGGGGGCAAATGTCTATTTCGCCCCCATCCCCCACCAATTCCTCCAACACCCCTCTAATACCTTCCTGTAAATCCAACAAAAATCGTTGGTTGCCCAATTCCGAAAGATGTACTCCATCACCACGATATAACCTCTCGTCGTCACGTGTGATGTTTGGGTGCTCAATGTAATGACCCCTCTGATGGATCATGAACAGTCGCATGGCCCGGTTCACTCGTTTTCTGGCTTTTTCCAGCCTCCCCACGTCGCCTCCTCCTAGCCACTTGCGACGAGGTATGATAGCAGACCCCGGTTCACTCGTTTTCTGGCTTTTTTAGCCTCCCCACGTCGCCTCCTCCTAGCCACTTGCGACGAGGTATGATAGCAGACCAAACGACGTGCACCCGGGGCCATGTCCACCAAATCTTTCGAATGTCCGCCCGTGCTTGCAAAAAGAGGGCTTTGCCTGTTAGCAGGCCCAAATCGTTACCACCGAGGTGGATAACCAACACATCAGGAGGGGGCCCACTCCTGGCATCAAACAACAAGGGGCACAAACCGTCCCAACGCAGGCCTCTCTCGCCTCTCCATTCCACCGTTGCCGTGGAAGCAAGACCCAAGTGCTGGCCATAGGCAGTCTTGTGGGCCTCTCTTCCTGCCAGACCAGGACCCTCTTTCTATGTGCCAGCCCTGCGCGGCCTGTAACGGTAACGATAACTAGGATGAAACTGACTGTACGTAACTACTGAACGCAGCGGACCTCCATCTACCTATAGCTTTGATTTCATCATTTTCGTATCCCATTATTGCTGCTGCCGTGGCAGCTCCAATCCTAAATGAGTGGGTCCCAAATTTAAGGTGTCCCATTCCCAGGAGGTCCAGTGCCTTAGCTGTGATGGTCCAGAACTGGTATTTTGTCAGCGGTTTTCCATCCTGATGGCAAAACAAGTAACTTTTCTCAATGCCCCTGAGTGCCGTGAATTGTGTCATGGCCACCACTGGGCATAGGTCTTCATCTCCGCATTTTAGCAGCCTAATCACCTGACCTTTCGACCCCTGGTCTGTTTCGGAAGTTCTAATTCTGATTTCCATGCTATCTGAAAAACCTTAACGTCGGAAACCAGAAGTGCGCAGTGTGATGTATCGTTCTTGGATAATGACACCAATTCACTCACCCGAAGAGCTGCCAAAAAATGCAGTCAACGCCGCTGCATGAAATAAGACCTGCTCATAATATAATGTGTACAGGCTGGGCCATAGCTGCTTAAGTCCCTTAACAATTGCAGGTGTCATCGGCTGCCGGTCGTCCCTGAGATGCTCGCGCTGCCTAGACCATCCTGTTAAAATTTTATGTATTCGAAAGTCATCAGTGGGATCGCTAAGGCCCTGGGCCTTGAACCAATATGCGAGCGCTGACACCTTTGACCTAATGGATTGGGGTGCCAAGCCTCTCTTTGTATGGTAGACACAAAACTGGGCCAACTGCTCGTAAGGCACCGGCATGGTTTCGGGTAATTTATAGTGTTGTCTGAAATCTAAGAATTACTGGACTGTCCTAACATAAGATTTTCTGGAACTGGGAGCTAATGCCAGTCTCAACCTAATGTTGTTTCGTCACTCCAGCCTTTTTCAAAGATGGTCTGGCATGCGCTCCGGATGGACGTCCGCGGCGGGTGCCAGCAGTCTGAATCGCTCCATCTGCATACGAGACAGAGCGTCAGCCAAGGCGTTATTAAGACCCGCGACATGGAATGCACGAAACAAGACGCTAAATTTAAGACATTGTAAAACAAAATGTCGGATAGCGCCTATCACCCTACGTGATTTAGATGTGAGGGTGTTAATGACCTGTACTGTGGCCATATTATCGCACCAGAAGTGGACCGTGGAATTGGCAAACCTGTCAGCCCAAAGGGTGACTGCCACCAGGATAGGAAAAAATTCCAGAAAGGTTAAGTCTGATGTTATGCCGAGCGTATGCCAACGCTCGGGCCACCTTTCCGCACACCAGTGCCCCTCAAAGTAGACTCCAAATCCTATCGCCCCTGAGGCGTCTGAAGAAACTTGTAATGCATTTTTAACCAACAATTCCTGACGCCAGAACGAAATACCGTTAAACTGGCGCAGGAATTGCAGCCAAATGAACAAATCTGCCTTTATCTCTAGTGTCAGTCTAATGTGGTGGTGGGGCAAAGTAACGCCAGCGATAGCGTCGCACAATCTTCGAAGAAAGGCCCGGCCGGGCGCTATAACCTTACATGCGAAATTTAATTGGCCAATTATCTGTTGGAATTCTCTTAAGGTGGCCTTATGCCGTGGTAAGAAGTTTCCTATCCTGTCAATCAAACCTTCTATCTTTTCCGCCGGCAGCCTAGAAAATTGATTGACTGTGTCCAGTTCTATACCCAAAAATGTCAACACTGTAAGGGGACCTTCCGTTTTTTCCTCAGCTAGGGGCACTCCCAATGACCACGCTAGCTGCTGAAAAGCGCGTAACAGGGCACCGCAGTCCCCTGATCCGCCCTTCCCTACGAAAAGAAAGTCGTCGAGATAATGCACGACACCTCTGAGGCCTGACTTTGTTTTTATAGCCCATTCGAGAAAGGTAGTGAAAGCTTCAAAAGTGGCGCAAGACACTGCGCACCCCATGGGCAAAGCCCGATCGAAATAGGAAAGTCCCTGAAACTGGAATCCTAATAACTCAAAGTCGGCCGGATGAACCGGGAGCAGCCTGAAAGCCGACTTAATATCGCACTTGGCTAATTCTGCTCCCGGCCCATAACGCCGCACCAATTGAACTGCTGCATCGAATGAGGCGTAGCTAACTGAACATTGCTCATCGGGAATAGCGTCATTCACTGATCCTCCTCTTGGGTAGGACAAATGATGAATGAGGCGGTATTCGCCGATGGCTTTTTTAGGAACTATTCCTAGAGGGGAAACCCTAAACTGAGCGGTGGGGGGTGCAGCAAATGGACCCAACACCCTGCCCTCCTTAACTTCCTTATCTATCTTTTGCCTGACTACAGTCTCTAGGCCTATAACCGATTTTAAATTGGGCGATAAACAGGGGGAACGCGGCCCAAGGGCCGGAATCCGAAAACCCTCCATAAAGCCGCGCAGCAAGTAATTTGCCGCAGCTCTGTCAGGGTATCTTTTCAGCCAACAACTAAGCGGACCCACCTTGATTGGGCTGGGGCCCTTTTGGAACATTAACCTGTGGTGGGTTCCTCCTATTGAATTGGGCGTCTCTTGGCGCAATTCTTGTGGGTTTTCCCTTGTAACAGCTCTTGGCTGCGTGGTTACCCTGGCATATTGTACAGGCGTGCTGATATTTGCAGTTCTTGCGTGAGCAAGCTCCCTGTGCCGCGTATTCCCAGCACATACTCCTTTGCCTTTGTGGCTGCTGTGCTGGGCCTCCCTGCCGAAAGGGCTGACTTCCTTTACTGTTTTGGATGGTGTGGCCACTATCGGCCTTCTCACCAGAAACTGCTCTGGTTGTATTCATTACCTCCATCCACAATTGACTATCGATGAGGTCCCATCGCTTGTTAGGCATCGTGGCGGCCTTAGTACGAAAGCGGCTATCGTAAACCAGCCACGCCTGACCAGTGTAATTGACATATGCCCCATATATTATATTTTGATATTTAAACAGGGACTTAGCCCTGTAAGGGTGAGCTTACACTATCAAGGATGCGTATATGGTATAACAAGCTATCCAATTCTTTCAATTATGCTCAACCGGCCTTTTCTTTAGCTTTTCTTTGCGCTCTTCGTCCAAGTCCTCTTTTTCCTTCTTTTCTAACTCCCTAAAGTACAAGGAAAACATATCTATATACTCATTCCTGAGTATCTTGTCTATGGTTTTTTGTGACAAATGAGCCCCCAACGAGGCTGAGGCCGCCGTTGGAACTATCGGCAATACCCATTTATCGGTTCCCCAATAATGGTTTTCCTCCCCCGTCCTTGCCATTTCTAAGGTTATTGGGGCAACAGCAGGGTCTTGGGGACCGGCTTTGTGACCGAATCACTTGTTGTGGCCAGGACCGCATCTGGTTGAGTAG